CCAAGGAATGCCCTTCCTTCTTCCTCTTCCTCTTCTTTCTCCTGCCTGCTTGGGAAAACTTTCTGTAATGGTTTGAGTGTGTCTCCCTCAAAATTCATGTGTTGTTGGAAATACAATCCTCAAATTCTTATGTTCATGATGTTTGGAGGCAGGCCTCTGGGAGGTCACTAGGATTCGATGAGCTTTAGAGACTCATGATGGCAGTAGTGGCTTTATAAGAAGAGGAAGAGAGATCTGAGCTGGCACACTGCTCTGTCTTGCTATGGGACACCCTCTGCTATGTTATGAAAGCCTTCACCAGATGCCAGTGTCACGCTCTTAAACTTTCCAGCCTCCGGAACTAAAGGAGCAAAATAAGCCTTTGTTCTTTGTAGCTCACCCAGTCTGTGGTACTCAGTCCTTGTTGCAACTATAAACAGATTAAGACACTCACTGCTCCCACCAGGGAAACCTTCCTGGCCTCTCCCCATCCCCAGCCCTCTAGAACTGAGGCTCTCCTCTTCATGGCCCCCACCCATTTCCAATTCCTTCTGAGGATCCCTCTTTTCTTTTCCCTCTTGAAGCCACTCACTTCTTATCCATTCAGGCCACTGACACCTGTCACCTGGACTGAATTATCACCTCACAGTTTCTGACCCCAACCCCCTGCTCCCTCACAATTATTTCCTATAGAGCAAGGACTGATCTTTCTAAGGCCTGTGCACTGTATCTGTTTAATACTTCAGTGCCTCCTCAGGTGACATCATGCATCCTCTGTGTTGACAGCATGCCTGTGGTACCATTTTGACTTCCCTCCAGGCCTCTTCTTCCTCTGCTGCTCCTCTTCACATCCACTCAGCTCCAAAGTTTTGGCCAAGCTCTTTTCTTCCTTGAGTCTCTCACCAAGTGGACTCCCTCTCAGAATGTTCTGCCCACTCACACCCTGACTCTGTGCAAGGATGGCTTTCTTCTCATCCTTCCAGGCTCAGAGTAAATCACTTCTCAGAGAAGCCCAGCTCCTGCACTGCTATCTGTCAGTAACACTGGCTCCCACTTTCCCCTTCATACACTGGTCACAAGTCACAACTGTACTTCCAGCTGCTGGCACCATATCTTCAGGACCATTCTGCTATTGATGCCCAGAACAGTGCCTGGTACAGAGCCAATGTTGATAAGTATTGTACAGAGGAATGAATTCTACCATATATAGAGTAAACATCCTTTCTCTGACAACATTGGGATCGAAGTGTTTCAGATTTCAAAGGTTTTTCAACTTTTGTATAAATCTTACCAGTTGAGGCTGGGCACTGCAGAGGCAGGAGGATCACCAGTTCCAGGCCAGCCTACACTACACAGTGAGACGCTGGCTCAAAAAACCAACGCCCCCCCCCCCCTAAAAAAGATACTACTGGATGAACATTCCTAATTTAAAAGTCTGAAATCCAAACTGCTCCAAAACTCTAAGCCAGCATTTCTGGCACTCAATCGTTCAGATTTCAGAGCATTTTGGCTACCTGATTTTCAAATTAAGATGTCAATCTGTATATTTCTATCGTGGCCCAATTTATTGTCTTTCTCTAAAACTTTATCACAATGTATCATATTGGTGATTACCTACTAGAGCAATGGTTCTCAAATCTTAGTATTACATAAGAAAAGAATCTCTTGGAGGTGGATTACAGCTTTCTGGGTCCTAGGATCAGGGATTGTATCTGACAGCAGTCTGGAGTGGGAACAGGGGTGCAGTTTTTGCAATTCCCACCAGGTGGCACTGCAGGAGGCCTGAGCCTCATGTTTAGAGGAAGAGCATCAGCCTCTAAGCACCTTGACTGAGTACTGAATAAGGCACTGAAGAGGGAAATAATGAAGGCTTTGGCTTACTTGAAACAACTGTTATGTGTTCCTTCACCCAAGCACCCACTGTGGACCGGGCCCCATGCCATTCACTGAGGACAGAGCACAGAGGGCACGCCATCCCTGTCCACAGAGTAAGACAATCTTTACAAATCACTACAGTGTGATCAGGGAGGAGTTATGGGTGCCACATGGCACGGTCATGTGCCCAGACAGAAAGAATACTTCTCACTGGAAGCCTTACCTCTAACACCAAGCACATCTTTCTAAGTCTAAATTCAAGAAGAAGCAGGGTTGTCCCCTGGCTGGTAGCAAAGACAATGGGATAGCAGGAACACTCCCTACTAGTCCAATAGATGGCTGTCAAAACTACTGGTGCCAACCCTATACACTGTGTCCTTCAGGGCTGAGGGACATGGCCTTGCCTTGGGGACACTGTCTCTAACAGGAGGGCTGTATTTTATGGCTGTGGCCTTGGCAGATCTTGCAGTGAAGAGGTCAAGTTCACTGGCCTCACGGCTTCCAGATAGCACATCAAGGGCCAGGCCTGGGTTAGTGAGCATTTCTTGTGCTTCGACATCTTTGCCTCAGTCTCCTGATTTAGGGCTCCTTGGAAAGGAGGACGTCACAGGCTCTACCCCCAAAACACACAAGAACAGGAAATTGAATCACCAATTCATGAAGGTTGATCTCTTTTCATTTTCATATAAAAATCAAAAAGGCCCTAAAATAAAATTTTATGATTACAGGGCAAACTACTAAAAATTTCTGTCAACAACACTAGGCACCTTCAGGCACTTAATAAAAGAAAAGGCTCTGTTCTGCAGCGATTCCACAGAGGGGTGCTTTCCATTTGTCCTGGGTTTTGCATGTCCTTTCTGGCATGGAGGGGCTCCCATGCCCCAGCTGCCCACAGCCTCTCTTTTGCTGCTTCCCTTCCCCCAGTCCTGGCCCAGCACCTCATCAGCGTAGCCCAGGCTTCCAGTGCCTGGTGGGACTGGGGACAGCAGTACAGAACACTTCCCTCTCTTGTGATGCTTCTTATTGCAAGGTGTCACCATCTGCCTGGGCCCTGTAGGTGTTTTGGTTTCATAAGAAAGGACTGAAAATAGTTTCCTCTGTCCCCATCCCAAAGAGAAGCCAATGCTCATCTAAGCAAGAAGAGCTGACAAGAGGGTACCTGTGTAAGTTGCCTCGAGGCTACCTGCTGTAAGATCCAGAGCTGATGTGGAAGGGGACACCTACACTCAAGGCCCCTGATGTCCCAGGGACAGAAAAGACCCAGCTCACATCTGCTCTGACACTCACGTCCATGGAGGGTCCATCTGTCCAACTGACTCTCACTGCCCACAAAGCCAAAGGAAAATCTCTAGATTCCCCTTACAGGGCAGGCCAGCACAGAGTTCAACCACACTTTATCTTCAAGTCCATGTAGGCGCTGGCACTAATGCACCTAGATCTTGATAATAACCATCATAAGGACAATGAAAAAAACAAGAATCAGAGTCTTAAATGTAGACGAATGCTTATTTTGAGAATGGGAGCTATAGATTCTTTTTTTTTCTGTTCTTCTCTGACTTTCTAAAATTATTTCTTAAAAGTATTTTAAGAAACAGCTAGGTCACTGTTTTTATTAAAGTCTTGTGAAAGGCCATAGGGAACTGGATCTTTGGGGTGAAACATACAACTTCATGAACGCAAACATCCCCTACCAAGTGCCAACACTTATTCCTAACATTACTCAAGACAAAGCCGTGCTCAGCTACCCTTTTTGTATAGGCAATGAAGATGAACCAAAAAGAGATGTCAAGTGACTGTCTAGTGAGTCTTAATGATTATTTGAACATTTGATTTGAATTCAATTTACACATTTTAAAATATATATTCTCTAAAACATATTTCCTATTTAGCCCAATTTCAACAAGTCTCCCTGCAATTGTAAGAGAAATAACTTTTAAGGATCTGCAGATAAAAATATATTCATTTAAAGAACTAAATATGGGCTGAGTATGGAGCTCAGTGGTAGAACAGTAGCCAAGCTTATGCGAAGTCCTGGGTTTTATCCCCCCAGCAACACACTCACACACAGAATCCCAAATACACTAAGAGAATAAAGAAGTGAGTTTCAAAAACACCATGTACTCATGCCTGTAGTAGGTGAAAGATGACGTATTTCAGAATAGAACACCACACATTTAAATACCCTTCTGAAGATTCTTATTGATAATACAGAGCTTTTTCCTCTTTTGCTTTTTTTTTTTTTTTTGGCGGTAGTGGGGATTGAACCCAGGGCCTTGTGCATGTGTTCTACTACTGAGCTACATCCCTAGCCTCTCCTCTTCCACTTTTTAGTGGAAAATTCCTACATACTCAGTTTCCAACTTTCACAGTTCCAGCTCAGCCAGTTTTGTACCATGTAGCTACCGTTCTCTCAATTCTTTTGAAGCAAAATAACATTTTAGCAGCAAATGTTTTTATACACATCTCTAAAAGATCAGGCTTTAAAAAAAATGTAAGATTGGTATTTATTATGATTTTGTAGTATATCCCGACCCCCCTCAGCTCTTCCAAATTTAAACAATGATGGCTGTTCTGTTGTTGTTCTTTTCCAAAGGACCTGTCACAACTTTTTTTTGGATCCTTCCCAAATTAGCCATGAAATAATTCTTAAAACTAGTTGCATACCAAAAGTTTAGTCTTATTTTGTGTTAAACAGCACATGGAAAAGAATTAATTCCTTCCTGACCATTCAACCTAACTACTCACTTTATCACTTAGGGCCACAAGTTCAAGTCCCAGCTGGATATTTTATTTCTTGGTGAGATCTTGAGGAGTAATAAAAAGCGGGCCCAGCATGTCCCTACTTTCACCTTTACTGGCATTAATTGAAGTCACAAATGACCTCCGCAAAGGAATAATGGGGCAGACATAGGGAAGCCCCAAACATCAGGTCTCTTGGCCTCAGTCAGGAAACAGAAACACTTTGCTTTTTCAAACCGCTGCAGCCTCAAGAATGATTACTAACAGGTTCCAAAGAGCAAGGACACCCCCACCCCCCCATGCCCCAAACATTATAGAAACATTGAGGAGTAAAAGAGGGAAAGGATAGGAAATATCAAACTTTCACTATTAGCCAGAGGTCCAAACCAATTAGCTCTTGGTTTTACCTTATAGCGCGTTTGCTCCACGTCGTAGATCTTTTTCTCTGATACCATTTTTGGGGCAAAGAACTTGGCTAACTTTGCAAGGTAAACTCCATTCCGGAGTCCTTCTTCCAATTCAGTGGTTGGTGGCAATTCTTCAACCAAGCAGACTTCCATCCACCTGAAAAGATGTTAAAGCACTGAAGTCATTCCAGTAAGGGAACTTTGTGTAAATGGAGACATGCAGCACACATGCAGTGTGTGTGCTGGAGACATTAAGAAAGGAAGTATACCTCAAACATCTTTAGGTGTCACCAGTGGGAAAGGAGGGCTTTCTGGGCAGAACAAGAATTCAGAATGAGAAGTGAGCAAAGGGGTGAGGTTGGGGGCAAGCTTGGAGGCACTGAACTCACTGCTGTGCCAGAGTTTCTCAACTTCACCTTTACCTGGGCTTCTGCTAATTCTCTTCTGTGCCAAAGAGGGGTGAAGGCCAAACCACTTTGTATGGGTGTAATTAGTCCTGCTGACGTTAAAGAAAAAAAATAATTCCCAGTTTATGAGCCTTACAGAGGCGATTTTGTAGGGGTTGTGCCTTGGGCAAAGCATCATCCAAAGTACTATGAACTGTGTAGCTGCTTCAGCTCAGAACTGGGTGTCAGGACTGGAAGCATGGCTCAAGTGGCAGAGTGCCTGCTTTGTGATCATGAAGATTTGAACCGAGTTCAAATCTCGGTTCCACTCCAAAAAAAAAAAAAAAAAACCCAGGCATTGGAAGTTCAGAAGATTGGGGGTATGCAGACCTTTTTCCAAACCAGGAGTGTGTGCCTACTGGAAGACACAGTAGCTCCTGGGTTCTCAAAAAATCTTCTAAAGATCAGATTAAATCTTAGGACATTGTGCCAGTATTGTAGAAAAGACAGCACCAAGGTCATTATTGACTCAAGGACACAGAGTGGGAGAGAAGCCAGGCCGGTTCACATTTCACAATCAGCCAGAGTCATGAGGCTAATGCTCCCCTTCTCCGCTCCCGAGTAACTACTACCTATGTTAGGCCTGAGAGGCAGGTGTGCAGTCCTCAGTGTGGACTCCCCGCCCCACACCAGCCAGATCCACCACAATGCCCTAACCAAGCCTTCAGGGATCACTCCCACGGCAGCCAGGGATCCCTCCACATTCAGAAGGCACTGCAGCACTGATCCTGACCCAAGCTGCGAGTATGGGAAAAGGCTACACTGCCTGTCACTCAGGATGTTGTCATTTAAAAGCCCATCAAACTCCTAATGAGTAAAGAGTACTCCCTGACCACTTATTAGGCACTATAAAAACAGAATCCATGAGAACAATAGAAACATGAGACCTGGATTTGACAAGCTTTAAGTGCAACTGATTGCCTAGTATGTGTGAGTGTGTGCTGGGTTCTATCCCCAGCAAGCAAAAAAGTATACACATATACATATATAAGTATACACACAGAAAGCATACATGTGGACATGAATGTGTGTATATGTACACATTTATATTATACATATATTTGAGAAGACAATGCAATTCCAAGGAAAAACCAGAGAACACGTGATAGGATGTCGTGCCCACTATGGAAGGTAGGGCGTAACAAGAAACTTGGGGAGTGAAGTGGACCACTGAGGGCTGGAAGCGTGGCTCAAGCAGTACAGCGCCTGCCTCACAAGCACGAAGACCTGAGTTCACCCCCAAAACCATACTATACCCAAAAAAAGAGGGCGCATTAGAGGTTATTGTTGGAGAAGGTGGTGGGGCCTGGACTTGGCATAGGAGAACAGACATGGGGAGAATTCACAACTGGGAGCTGGACAAACCAAAGGCAGAAAAGAAACATGGCTGGCTAGTGGACTAGCAGACCTTGGCCTTTGGGGCTTCTGGGGAGAAGAGAGAAACAAGGCCAGGCATCTGCTGTGAAGCAGGGCTCTAGGGAGCCCACACAGGAGGAGAAGTGTCAACATCTGTCACCAGCTCTTAAGGAGCTCCTGGCAGCCTCAAAAGAGCTGTGGCCCCCTGACAGTGGTAATTACAGCCAGTTAATCTGCATTAAGGAAATCATAACAGGGCTTGGTGAGAGCTTAGAAAAGGAGGGTAAGAGAAACAGAAATATTACCAGCTATGGAGAAGGGCGTGACAGAAGGGGAGATCTGCACCAGGACTCGACCACTCAGTGGTGGTAGGACTGCAAGCCAGTCCCTTAGACTCTCAGGACCTCAGTTTTCTCCTCTGCTGAAGGAGAGGGTGGTGGCGAGAAGGAATGAATGGTTAAGTTCTTCCCACACCTAACATCCTGGGGGTCTGTGAAACTGAAAGAACAGGGAAGAGGTAAAATGAGACAAACCTGACTTTTCACATATGCTCAAGATGAATTGTGGAATGTTTGACTTATATAATACGTCTTGCTTCAAATTAACTCAAATACAATGCACTTGCTTAAAAAAAAAAACAGAATACTACTGTTGCCTCAAAAAAAAAAAAATCAGGCCACATTAAGAGCCAGTGTACTAAGAGGCCACAAATAACCAAGGCAATACTCAGTCAAAAGAACAATGCAGGAGGTATCACAATACCTGACTTCAAACTATATTACAAAGCAATAGCAATAAAAACAGCATGGTACTGGCACAAAAACAGACATGAAGACCAGGGGAACAGAATAGAAGATCCAGATATGAAGCCACACAACTATAACCAACTTGTCTTTGACAAAGGAGCTAAAAATATATGATGGAGAAATAGCAGCCTCTTCAACAAAAAATGCTGGGAAAACTGGTTAGCAGTCTGCAAAAAACTGAAACTAGATCCATGTATATCACCCTATACCAAGATTAACTCAAAATGGATCAAGGATCTTAATATCAGACCACAAACTCTAAAGTTGATACAGGAAAGAGTAGGAAATACTCTGGAGTTAGTTGGTATAGGTAAGAACTTTCTCAATGAAACCCCAGCAGCACAGCAACTAAGAGATAGCATAGATAAATGGGACCTCATAAAACTAAAAAGCTTCTGTTCATCAAAAGAAATGGTCTCTAAACTGAAGAGAACACCCATAGAGTGGGAGAAAATATTTGCCAGCTACACATCAGACAAAGGACTGATAACCAGAATATATAGGGAACTTAAAAAACTAAATTCTCCCAAAACTAATGAACCAATAAAGAAATGGGCAAGTGAACTAAACAGAACTTTCTCAAAAGAAGAAATTCAAATGGCCAAAAAACACATGAAAAAATGCTCACCATATCTAGCAAAAAAGGAAATGCAAATTAGAACCACACTAAGATTCCACCTCACCCCTGTTAGAATAGCCATCATCAGCAACACCACCACCAACAGGTGTTGGCGAGGATGTGGGGAAAAAGGAACCCTCTTACACTGTTGGTGGGAATGTAAACTAGTACAACCACTTTGGAAAAAAATTTGGAGGCTACTTAAAAAGCTAGACATCGATCTACCATGTGATCCAGCAATACCACTCTTGGGGATATACCCAAAAGACTGTGACACAGGTTACTCCAGAGGCACCTGCACACCCATGTTTATTGCGGCACTATTCACAATAGCCAAGTTATGGAAACAGCCAAGATGCCCCAGCACTGACGAATGGATTAAGAAAATGTGGTATCTATACACAATGGAATTTTATGCAGCCATGAAGAAGAACGAAATGTGATCATTCGCTGGTAAATGAATGGAAGTGGAGAACATCATTCTGAGTGAGGTTAGCCTGGCCCAAAAGACCAAAAATCATATGTTCTCCCTCATATGTGGACATTAGATCAAGGGCAAACACAACAAGGGGACTGGACTTTGAGCACATGATAAAATCGAGAGCACACAAGGGAGGGCTGAGGATAGGTAAGACACCTAAAAAATTAGCTAGCATTTGTTGCCCTTAACGCAGAGAAACTAAAGCAGATACCTTAAAGCAACTGAGGCCAATAGGAAAAGGAGACCAGGAACTAGAAAAAAGGTTAGATCAAAAAGAATTAACCTAGAAGGTAACAGACACGCACAGGAAATCAATGTGAGTCAACTCCCTGTATAGCTACCTTATCTCAACCAGCAAAAACCCTTGTTCCTTCCTATTATAGCTTATACTCTCTCTTCAACAAAATTAGAGATAAGGGCAAAATAGTTTCTGCTGGGTATTGAGGGGGTAGGGGGGAGAGGAGGGGGTGGAGTGGGTGGTAAGGGAGGGGGTGGGGGCAGGGGGGAGAAATGACCCAAGCCTTGTATGCACATATGAGTAATAAAAGAAAAAAAAAAAGAGCCAATGTACTAAACCAAGTGTGTCAGCCAGTTCTCTGTAGCTATAATGAAAAACCTGAGATAAATAGCTTATAAAATGAAAAGGTTTAGCCAGGCACAGTTGTGTATGCCTATACTGTCAGCTACTTGGGAGGCTGAGGTGGGAGAATTGTGGGCTCAAGGCCAGCCTGGGCAACACAGCAAAAAACCATTTCAAAAAAAAAAAAAAAGAAAAGAAAAGAAGAAAAAGAAGAAGAAAAAAGAGAAAGAAGAGGAGGAAACCTAGTGTGGTGGCAGTCACTATAATCCTAGCACTTGGGAGGTGTAGGTGGGAAGATTTCAAGGCCAATCTGGGTTACACAAGACCCTGTTTCAAAAAAAAAAGGGCTGAGCATAGTGGCACATGCCTGTACTCTGAACTGCTTGAGAGACCTCTCTCTGCTGAGGCCAGTCCAGGCAAAGGTAGCAGAGACCCGATCTAAAAAACAAACTAATAGCAGACTCAGGGCGTGGCTCAAATGGCAGAGCAAACAATGCTAGCTTGCCTAACAAGCGATGTCCCAAGTTCAATCCCCACTACTACAAAAACAAAATCATGAGATCGTTCTAAAAATGAATAAATAAATTTAAAAAGGAAAATAAAAAGAGAGAAAAGGTTTATTTCAGCTCACAGATTTGAGATTCTAGTCCAAGACTGGGTAGAGCCATTGTGTCTCTTGTGGGGGTGCCAGGGGCAATGGGGGGGAGAGTGTGCTGGAGCAAAGGGCAGGAAGAGAGAGAGAGAGGAACAGACTGGGGTCTTTCAGGGGCATGCCTCTGGTGACCTGAGGATCTCCCACAGGCCCTTCCTCTGACAGGCAGAGAGCACCTCCCAAGTCTTACCCCGCCCCCATCGCAGGGGACAAAGCC